GAACATCTAAGATTTATGGATTTCGATAATATTTTTGCTTCAGGTTTATAATTGTTTTACTTTAGTTTTAAAAAATTTTATTTAGGTTAATATAGCATATTAATATTATTGTCTGATAAATAATTATTCAAAGTAATGATTAATGGAGTTACTACTTGATATCCATAAATTTTCCAAGGAAATTATGATTTTAGTGTTTATAATTCAATGTGAAACTGAAAAATATTAACAGTAATACGAAATTATGTATTTTGTAAAAATTGTGTTAATTTAATTAGTTAATACTATACGTACTTGTTATGACTCTCACTCCTCTTCGTCTCCCATCACTTCTTTTCGTCTCTCATCATTTCTTTTTGTCTCCCGTCACTTCCTTTCGTCTCTCATAACTCCTCTTTGTCTCCCATCACTTCTTTTCGTCTCTCATCGTTCCTTTACGTCTCCCATCATTTCTTTTTGTCTCTCATCACTTTTTTCGTCTCCCATCACTCCTCTTCGTCTCCCATCACTCCTCTTCGTCTCTATCACTTCTTTTCGTCTCCCATTACTCCTCTTCGTCTCCCATCACTTCTTTCCGTTTCCCATCACACCTTTTTATCTCACTTCTCATTGCTCTTTTTTACTCTCTTTCATCTTCTATTACTTTCCATTACTCCATGTTATTTCATTTTTTATTAGCATCTTTCTCCTTGATCATTATAATTTACTTATCTTTTTTATTTATTATTATTATTTTTTTTATTTGTATCACTTCATTAAAAATGAATATGGTGATTTTTTTCTTTAAAATCGAAAATGTGTGACTTAAATTTTAATATTTGCAAATAAATAAGATTATTTGAATTAGAAATTATAATAAAAAAATATCTTCGCAATAAAATTTAAGTTTAATCAGCCGATTAATAAATTTACTCTATATATTGTGCATCATGTGTCAATTATGACATACTTGAAAAAACCCCAGGCGATGATCGCCCAGGTAACGTTTAGCAATCCCCTTATATTATTTTCTGTACCTTACTCATATAAGGGGAGTAACGTAAAGTAAATAAATATAATTGACTTTACGTTCCGTGCCTTATATAAGGGGAGTAACATAAATTGACCTAAAATAGTAATTTTACGTTACTTACTTAGCCAATTTCCGTTACTCACTTACTACCTGCCGGTTAACATGATGGATAATTACAAAAAAAAAAGTATTATGGCAATAACTGTGACTAATAATGGACTTCTTATTTATATGTTAACATGCAGTCACTAATGCAAAATGTGGTCCAAACTAGATTTCAGGTAGTTCAAGTAATCCTATAAACAAATGAATGTAAATTTTATTATAGAAGTTTATTTCCAATTATAAAACTAATTATATTATACAGTATATATTTTCTGAGTTAAATTGAAAAACAGATCAATTGAATAACTCTATTAACACATGCATACTATAAGAAGTATAAACGCAAGTTAAAAGTAGCTAAAATTTTACTTATTATTGTTATTTATTATTGTTATTATTGTAAAAAAAAATTATTATTTGATAGGACATTGAAGGTTATAAGACAACTCTAAAATAAAATCTACATTTGTTCAAATCTAAAATATCACAAATATAATTGCATTTATGGGTTTTTAAAAAAGGCATCAATACCCCGGGCTGTTTGAAGATTTTTAGAACCATATTGAGAATGATTTGATTGATAACTAAACAAAGCAATTAATTAAAAAGATAAAATTTTTCATGGATTATATTTACTTGACAACTTACTTATCGTGATATGTAAAATGGTTAAAGCCTAAAGCTTTGTGCTAGTAAGGCAGCTTCTTGTTTATCTTTGGTCACATATCCGTGATTACAATTGTACTTTTTCTATGCTCCATCAACATATTATAAAAAAATATAATAAATACTGATATGTGGCCAAATCATCTAGATTTGCTTTTTTCAACTTTAAATTAAATCTTTCTAAAATATATTTGCACATAGCCTTCATCTGTACATCTACTAATATTGTTTCATACCGATTTTTATAAGCATTCTTATATGACTTGACAACATATATAAATCATCTATCATATTGGTAGTATAAACCATATAGGCTTTGCGCATCCCGCCTAAATTATTAATACAAGAGTGGTTAATAAATAATAACAATTTAAGCCAGTTTAAGTATAAAAATAATTCTATATTAAAATTGCATAATACCTTCTGCAAATGGTTTATTTGGTAATGTAAATTCGAGTACGGCTTTATCTAACCATGTTCTGTTAATACATCAAAAGTCTTAAGTTGATAAATCTCAACTTTTGATTTTTGAACTAAAAATAAGGTTAATGAAATTAAATTAGTAATAAATAACAATAAATGCACTTTATATAATATTTAAATTAATTAAATTTTTTCACAGACCCAAAATCTCTACACAAATTTCTACAATCTATAGTTGCCTAAATAAAATAGGTCAATTATTAAAAAGTAAATTATTCAAAAGTCCTTCTACTTTTTAATAACATAACATTTTGGAATTAAATAGATTTTCATGACTTCTATAGTCTTCAACGTCAATAATTTCAATTGATTTTATTTCAAGATGAATATTGCTTTTAGGAATGGAAAGATGTTCTTCAATATCTCTATTGGTAAGATCATAAATGTTTTTTTCGGAAATAGTAATATCTCTTTTAATAGAAGTATTTTAAATACTGATATTCTTTTCTTTAGGAATATTGTTTTTTGAGACAGATGTTGACATGCTTATTATAGCATTTGTTAAGTTTCTATCTTCTTCATACTAAATATAGAAATATTTTTAATAATATATTAATTATTTTATAATTTAGTTAAAATAACTAACAAGCAATACCTGAAATATTAAAGAAACTTTATAATTTTCTTTTTGCAAATCTTTAACATGTATAAAGTTTTTTAGCAAACCCTTTATGATCGATAAGCTAGCAGTTTGTTTCGTTCTCAGTATAAGGAAACTTAATTTAATATTAACCTATTATTAAAAAAAATTAATAATTTAAAATAGAATATGATAAATTTACAGTACCTGATCTTTCAAATTATTGATAAGGCTCAATAAAATAATGCCAAATTCTTCATCTTCATCAAATTTAACTTTATTGGATATTGTATTTGGATACAACACACCTTTCATTTTCTTGTTATTATATACCGTCACAGTTAGAATCTATTGAAAATAAAAAATTTTGTATTAAAAGTTTACTGCGAATTTTTTATTTGTTTTTTCTTTGATTTATCAATGCGAAAAGCGCGGATCTGTTTACGACTCTCTTGCCTTTTGTTTTTTTAAACCTTTGAGTCAAGTTTATTTCATCTCTTGCGTTTTTATTGCCAAATCTAACTTTAGCCTCATGAACTATTTCTCTTATGTCTTTGTTTTTTTTTTAGCGTTAAGTAAATTACTGGTACTTTTAGAAGCTGGCCCTTTTGTCAAACTACCACATTCCGGGAAAAACATGGTTTCTTTTTCTTCAAAAATTTGAGAACAATGTTTATTGCTTATTAGATTACCACACTTATAACGAAATGGGTTTTATTTTTGAATCTTGTAGACAGTTTAAACAGCGCCTACAAAAAAAGGTATTTAATTAATGCATAGTTTATAGTAATACATGCATTATAAAGAAAAATTGTTAAACGCGTTATAAAACCTAATTAACAAAACAAAATTTTAACATTACTGACTTTATAATAAATTTTTAAAATATATAACGAACTTTGGATGAAAAATTAGATGTGCGTAGTGAACAATCTTGATTATCCAGATGAATAAATAACTTTAATATTTCCTAATTAAGTATAAGCCATAGCAATAAATCTATAAAAACTGGATAAATAAACAACTTTAATATTTCCTAATTACGTGTAAACCTGATTTAATGTTTCCTAATTAAGTGTAAGATGTGGCAATGATTCTTGTGGCCAGATTATAAACAATTTTAGTATGATTGAGAGTATGATTGTTCTTTCCCAATACATACTGATAATATTAAATAAATAAAAAAAAAAATTTACATAATAAAATTTTTTTTATCGATGCAATGTTTGGGGTACCAATCTTTTTGCACCGGCCCATAACTTTTTATTGTATTAAACTATTTAATATGAAATAATAATATAATGATATTTATCTATGATATAACTCTATTTAATAATTATCTGTATGGATTATTATCATTTTTTAACTATACCGATAATCTTTGTCAATTTAACCTAATTTAAAAATCATATGATCATCACATCATTATTGCATTTAGCTTTAACAAAAAATCTCCGTATTAATTTTATCTTTATTTACTTATATTTTTCCAAACTTTATTAATCATCGTATTTCAACGAAATAATTTTAAAAATATAGTAGAACCTTATATTTACCAAATCTTTATTATGAACAAATTTTAGAAAATTACAAAGTTATCATAATATAAAAATAAGTTACTTTTGTCTTTTTTTACATTAAATATAAATTAATATATACAAATTTATATTTTGATTTATATAGCATATTACTGAATTACAATTACTGGGTTTAAGTAAAAAACACATTAAAGAAGCAAAATTACAGAAAATTGAACAAATAATTAAATTTCATTTTTACAAAGGAAAAATGGATAAGATAATTTTATTAAATTTACAACAAATGAATATAAATTTAAGGTTTTTAAGTTATTACTCAATAATTTATTATTTATTTAATTTTTATTATTCCAAAGCCTTAATTCTTTAAAAAAGTTTAGGGGACGATTACATCTTTCCCGAAGGCAAAGAAAAATTGGTGCAAATAATTTTGTATGAGACACAAAATAGTAATAAATATTATGGAATTCGAGCTATGCAGCATCGCTTAAAAGTCGCATATCAAATATTTACATCAAGGTAAATATTTTATTATTAATAATAATAAAATGAAAGTTTTTAACAATTGTAAATTTTCTTGTTAGACAAAAAGTTCACCAAATTCTTCATGAAATAGATCCTGAAGCAATGAAATTAAGAAGACAAAAATAGTTAAAAAGACACATAATGCATGTACAAGGTCCAAATTTCGTATGGAGTAATGATGGTTATGATAAATTACATCACTGGGAATTTTATATACATAGATGTATCGATGCTTATTCACGATATATTATTTGGATTTATGTTGGTACAACAAACAAATGATCTCAATTAATTTGGAATATTATTTGACACAAAGAACTTAAAGGTATAATATGCAAATATATGCAAATATTTAGTATATTTACACACATATAATAATTAGTAGTTTTTTTAGGCATTATTCCTCATGTGATAAGAGCTGATCTTGATGTTGAATATAACTTGATGGCTCTAGTGCAAATGCTTGTTCATGAAAATCACAATGATGTTAGAGCAGGATCTTTATCTTGGCGATATGGTAATTCAACAAGTAATCAACGAATTGAAGCTTGGTGGTCTTTTTTACGCAAATATATATCACAATTTTGGATTGAATTATTTACTGAAATAGAAGCAGCAGGAGAATGGAATTATTTTGACTATATTAATAGGTTAGTAAAGATGTATATTTATTAATTAATTAGTAATTATATTTTAAAGATAAGCATTATTATTATTTTTTTATAAAGGATGCCTTATTTTTTGTTTTTATGCCGCTTCTTATTCAAGAATTAAGTGAATTTAGATTGAAATGGAATACACATGATGCAAAAAGTCATTGTCCTTCAGGTTGTCCTGATGATAATTAGAATTAAATCATACACAAAATTTTAGATTTGGTGTTAATATAGAAGATTATACATATATATATATGGAAAATTTTGTGATGACCCAAGTTTAGGTGAATATTTTACTTTACAAAGAACAAGTGAATTAGATAGCATTGTTAAAAATATTTTATATAATATTGGTGATCCAAAGATTGATATTACAAATGCGCGTCAAGTTTATTATATTTTACGAACTTATTTACATGAATTATCTGACTAGCAGTAAATAATTTTTGTCTCAGAAAGTCAGAAATATTAATATCATTTCATATTATATCAAATTGTAACATTTTGTAATGCAAATAGTGCAAATCTTTATCATCTATAAAAAAGTTCTGTAACGTTTAGACTTTAGATTAGCCTGTATAAATTAATTTTGAATTGCTGATCCGTATTCTTTATAGTTATGACCCGCTTGATCAGGAATTTTTTTTTTTAAAAAAAAAAAAATTTCGGTTCCCCTTTTTTAATTTTCTTTTTTTTTCTTGAACCGATTTTTTACTTTGGTTCTTTCTTTTTTTCAAATTTCCTCTTTTCTCTTTCACAACACCTTTTCTTTCTTTTTTTTTTTATAAAAAATTGATTAAAAATTTTTCGCTTTTTTTCCTCCTTTTTTTTTTGTTTTTTTTCATTCTTTCCCCATTTAGATTTGGTTTTTTTCCAAAACCGAAAAATTATTATTTTTTTTATTAATAATCCTATTGTTTCGGTCTTTAAGACTTATATTATTTTTTTGGTCTTTCTTTAGACTGTACCCTTTTTTTCAGAATTTTTTTCAGTACTTATTTTTTTTTAAAACCGATTTCTTTCTTTATCCTTTTTCCTTTCCCAATTTTTTTTTTTATTTTTCCTTTTCGGGTTCTTTTTTCAACCCGATTTTTATCTTGTCCCTCCCACAAATTTTTTTTTTGTTTTTATTTTTTCAAAATTTTTTATTTTTTTTTCCGATTGGCTTTTTTTCCAATCCGAAAAATTTTTTTCACCTTTTCCTTTTTCGGTTTGGCTTTTTTTTTCTTTCAAGCCAAATTTTTTTTTCCAAATACACTCTTTCACCATTTAGGTTTGGATCAGTGATCGGATTGATGTCGTGGCACCACGGATTTTTCCCGATTCTTATTATTAATAACTAGTAAGGATTAAAGGGTTTAACTGATAATTACATCTAAATTGAGTCAAAATTAATATTGTGTTATAACATTAAACATAGTCAATGCAAATTTATTCGATCTGTATCTAACGTATCCTATTCCAGTTTATAAAAAATAAACTTATTTAAATTCATAAATTCCGAATTTGAATTAATGAAAATTTTTTCCATTCTGCATGATTTCTTTAATAATTAAAATAATGTTACAAAATAAAAAATAATTATTTTGATCATGTAATACCGACTTTAGTGTAATACACAGAATCATAATGAAATCATAAAAACAATAACAGCAGATAATGAATTTTTCACGGCTAAACCATTAAAAGAAAATACTAACTCATCTTATTCCAAAGTTAAATGATAATAAACCTAGACCCGAAAATATAAACACTCGAATGAAATATAAAATTTCACGTGATAAAGAATTTTTATCCATTACAGTAAAAAGGCTATAGAAATTTATAGTACTATTAAGCATGAAGCTTATTATTCTACGAATTAATATACTAAATCTGTTGAAGCAAATGAAACGTTTCCGGACAACGGATAATAAATATTTTGATATATAATATATCTTATTGTGTATTTATAATTAAAGTCATATTTTCTTATCAAATAAATTGCTGAAACCTAAGAAAAAACTTATCATGCAATCTAGTTGGTCTTTTAACGGAAAGAGACATATATAATGTAAGATTGTAAGTAATGGAATCAATATGTCGAGATTTTTTCCATGGCCAATCACTAGAATCGACGAGCAGACTAATGCAGAATCATTCCTTCCAGCGAATACACTAAATGAAAAGCAGAGGACTCACCCTTGACACGATATTTCTTCCTATGGTTATTTTTGCCGAATTTCGGTCACGTGATCAACTGCGGAAAAGAAATTAGTGGAAAAAATCACGTGAATCGTATATGGCTTGACGCAGCAATTTACGCATATGTGGATAAAATAAAAAGCTCGTACGATACTTAATACTGTATTTTCCCAGAGTATTGTTTTTTTTAAACATTTTAACAGAGACCAAATTCAGATGTTCCTTATGTTCCAAATTCGGATAATACTAATGCTCATCCTTCTCTTAGGATGATGCAATTTTTTTCTTTAAACTGATTTTTTATTTTTTTTTGGATTTTAATTTTTTCCCTTTATAACCTATATAATAATTGATTTTTTTAATAATTCTTTTTCTTAGTTATTTTTTTATTAATATTTTCTTTTTCCTAATTTTTTATTTTTTTTTCTCTTTTACCTTTTGGATTTGGATCAGGTCAATTTGAGATATAATAAAAATAAATATTCATTTTTTTATTTGGATAAATATATTTTTAAATAATAATTTATGTAATTTTTTATATTATATAATTGAGTATCACTATATGATTTCATTGATAAATTATCATATTTAACTGAAAAAGAAAATATTTTTTTTTTTATGAGATGTAATTCTAATAATTTTATTTTTAACAAAACAGATTACAACTAATATTACAATAGTTTTATTATCGATCCAATCATGTTTGATAACAGCTAGTGGAAATATCTAAGCATTTGGCGTAATAAAATAAACCTTTCAGCATAGAAGATAATGATAGAAAGAATTAACAAGAAAGGAAACGGAAAATAATTTGCACAAAAGCGGAAAATAAGGAAAAATCATTTCCTTCTTTTGCATATATGTAAAATAAGGTCAAAAAAATAACTGTGTTCGACAAATTGAGATGTATAATAACTTTTGTAGTATAGAACACCAAATATAGTAATTCTTTTTTAGTAATAACAAGATATTGTACTACATCTCATTGATTTTTTCTATTTGCTAAAGAGAGCGTGGCTGCCAATCTACTATATGATATCATTATTAACGCAGCAAGAAATCTGTTCGACCTATTGCTAATTTGGAATCTCATTTCCTTTTTTATCCTTATTGAAAATATAACAGATAATATATAAAGTAACGCAAATAACGCTAATTTATTTCTGCCAGAAATATATAAGTAATGTATAAACTAACGAAACTCAAGTCTCTATATAATAAATTAATTGGTCATAAAAATTGTTCTTATTGCAATAAATCATTTACCAAAGAATTATGGTGTAAAGAATGCGATCCATTTATGAATATTGAAAGATGGTCTAGTGGAAATAATGAAATTGATAAACTTATCAAAGATACAATTTATGGTGCGAGAAATGAGAATCATAACTTTCTTGAATGGGTACCATTTGATAAATTTAAAGATATAAACCAAATTGGTGAAGGTGGATTTTCCAAAGTATATTTTGCAACGTGGATTGATGGTCCAAAAATACATAAGAAATATGGAATTTGGGAAAAACGTAAATCTGAACCTATCAAAGTTGCATTGAAAAGGTTAAATGGATCAGAGAATATATCAGCTGAATATTTAAATGAGGTAAGTTTTGTATTAATTTTACATATTTTAATTAACCTCTTTAATAATAATTGAGAAATTTTTTCATTAATTTAAATGCAAATAATAGATTAAAATACTTTGGGATTTATGTCAAATACACAATGGATGTCTAAGTTTTTATGGAATGACTAAAGATCCAGAAACTGAAGAACTTATGATAATTTCAGAATATGCAGATAAAGGAAATTTGAGAAGTGTTATTTCACACAATTTCAATAATACTTTGTGGAAAGATAAATTACTTTATTTACATTGGATAACACATGGTCTTAAAAGTTTACATGAATTAGGATATTTTCATAAAGATTTTCATAGTGGAAATATATTACAAGTAGATTATGAAACTTATATTTCAGATTTTGGATTATCTGGACCGTCAAATAAACAAAAATCGGATGATAAAATATGTGGAGTATTACCATATATTGCCCCAGAAGTTTTGAATGAAGAACCATATTCATTATCTTCTGATATTTATAGTTTTGGTATAATTATGGTTGAATTATCATCTGGAAAACCACCATTTCATAAAATAAAACATGATATTACCTTAGCATTAGAAATATGTAATGGACTCAGACCAGAATTTGGAAAAGGAACTCCTGAAATTTATAAAAAACTAGCTTATAAATGTATGAATGCTAATTCAAATCAAAGACCAACAGCTGAAGAGTTATATGATATAATAAAATTTTGGTTATATTCTAACTCTCTTAATACCTTTGAAAATTATCTAGAAAAAGAAGAATTTGGGTATAAAGGTAAAGAGATTAAAGCTATGTTTGAAGAAGCTGACAAGGAAATACCAAATATTTCAACTTCATATGACAAAAATCCTGATGCTGTATATACTAGTAGATTATTTACATTTAGTAATTTAACAAAACCTGTTAATTCTTCTATTATTACTGAATATCTTAATGATGAAGAAAACAATAAAGGTATAAAATTTTTTTAATAAATATTTAATTACATAATTGCTAATTATATTTCTTTTATAGATTGTAAAGATTCTCAATTATTTGACTTGGAGATTTCATAAAAAAGAAGGTTGATTATTAAGTGATCATACTGTATATATATATTGTGGTAAACTTTTGTTTTTATTTACTTTTAAAATTGTTTATTTAGTTAATTCGAATTTTAACATCAAATATTTAATAATCCATAGTTACATGACACAACTGATACGTGATAGGCCAACATTATACGTAATTTCTGGTGAGAAATATATTTTTCTGGAGTACTGGTAATAAAATTGGTACATCGTAAAGTACTTTTCTAATTGCACTTCAGCACTTGATAGTTATAATTTTCTTGTAACCAAAATAACTATGTGAAGTGACTCTCGAGTGGTAACATTTTAATACGTCAATTAAAACTTTTTAGGTAAAAATCATTTTTTTATTTATTAGATTATTCATTTATTTTATTCAACTGTAAGTTTTATATGATTAAAATTAAATTTTAAATAATTAAATTATTTTTTGTGGTTTGAATGATCACAGTCGATAAATTATATATTTAACATAATAAATAATTCAATAATAATTTTACCGTAACATATTGAAAGATATCATAATAACCGACTGAGTTATTTTATTATAAAGAATTTAATGGCATTTACT